TGCAAGGAATTTATTGCAGTTTTCCAAAAGTGGCCTAACCAATGTCTTATACAGCTGCAACATGACGTCCCAACTCCTGAACTCAAATGTAAGGCTGCAATTTATTTTAGGGGTAAAAAAGAGGTGTAGCTTTGTCACCAACATCCACATGGAAGATGGCCAATGAGAAGAAACCTAATTTAAATTAGCCAGGGTGTCCTGAAGATGTTAGGGGCAGATTGGATGGGAGAAGATGGGCAGCATGGTGGCTCAGTGGTTAGCACTGCTGCCTCACAGCCCCAGGGACCTGCATTCGATTCCAGCCCCAGATGACTGTCTGTGTGGAGTTTGCACATTCTCCCCCTGTCTGCATGGGTTTTCTCCAGGTGGGCCAGTTTCCTCCCAAGTCCAAAGATGTGCAGGTTAGGGCGGACTGGCCGTGCTAAATTGTCCCATGGTGCCCAGGGATGTTTAGGTTAGATGGGTTAGACATGGGACATGCAGGAGTAGGGGAATGTGTCTGTGTGGGATGCTCTTCAGAGGGGCAGTGTGGACTCGTCGGGCCGAATGGCCTGTTTCCACACTGTTGGGATTCTATGATCTGTGAAGATCCCAATCAGGTCATTGCAGGCGATGAAAGGAAGCAGACAAGGATGGAGAGAATAACCATGCAGTGCCTTGAAAGTTGTCAAGGACAGATTCTATACCACGGTTTAAGTTATAGTAAATATTGTTAATGACTTTGACAGAGGACAATTTAAATCTGTGTTGGGGCTGGGTGAGCTGAATGCTTTGGATAGTGAGAGTATATTTGAAGATCCTGGAAAAACTGAAGAAAAGGATTAGTAACCTCCTGAGGCATTTGGGGTGGGGAGTAAGTCCCTGTCTTTTCTAAAAATGTCCATTGCTCAGGGTGTGGGCAAAGAGCTAAAAGAGGGCACAGTTTACAGATTCCATCCTAAAGTCCAACAATGTCAAGGCGTGTGTTGTTGGCAATTTCCTCCTCGGAGTTTTGCCCATAATTAGCGCGTTTGGGGGAACATTTTCAGATCAATTACGAGCGCAAGCTGTTTTGATTTTTTTCCTTTATTTGGCGATTTAACTCGTGCGCGTGCGCTGTTTTGAAAATTTAAATGACGCCAACGGCCAACGGCCTATGGTTTGTGACGTCACCGCATCCTTATTTGCATGAACGGATTGAAAATGTACTACACAGCGACAGCCAATCAGAGAACAGCGTATTTTAACCAATGACGTTCAACCACATTTCTGCGGGGTTGCCCTTTTTTTCCCAGCCAGAGGAAGACCGAAAGACAAAGCTCGTTTTAATCTATCAGCCCCCACATAGGGCACAACACCGAAAACAATTCCTTTATTTCTTGCAATTTATTCTAATTGCATTTTCATACATTGACAAGCGTCTTTCCTAGCTGTTAAAAATATTTTTCTCTTACGTCTAAAAGTAAAACCAATAATAACTCAATATCAACGTTCCAGTCCATGTTCTTTCACCCGCAAACAGTTCATTGTATCCCTGTGCTGAGTTTACGTGAAAATGAAATTAGCGGCAGTCACAGTGCTCGCAGTCCCAACCGTGGTATTTTCACTGTTTTAAAGATATTCATCTGTTTTCTTTTGTGATCACCAGTATTCTCACATCTCAAAGTAGCTCTCAGGGCCAAAATTGTGCGACGTTACAAAACTTAACGGATAGCGCTCGGAAACATTTTCACTGCGAGGCTTAAAATTTTCAAAAGACAGACATGTTACCAAATGCAAATAATTCTTGTTCGACATATCAAATGTGCGTGTTCAGGACACTTTCATCCAATTTCGCCAGAAGATGAATAAGGCGCTGGGAAATCCAGTGACCATTGTAAAAATTGTGGCGATTTCCACCACTGTTAATATTGTGCAGGAGTGCGTCTTTTATTTCTTGACAAATTGAACTAAATTGCAACGAAGAGAAACTAAGAAGCAATTTTAAGATCAGATATTTAGCCCTCATGAAAGGAAAAAAAAGATGAGAATGTTGGAAATCTGAAACTAACGAAAAGTGTTGGAGAAACTCAACAGGTCTGACTGCATCTGTTTCTTTATCAATGATAAAGATGTAGTCAGACCTGCCGAGTTTCTCCAACCCTTTCTGTTTCAGATTTCCAGCATTCGCATCATTTTTTTTCTTTCATGAGAGCTAAATGTGGTCTGGTTGCACAATAATTGGTTTCCATGTTCTAATTTACGCTGTGGGAGTGTGTAGCGACAAGTGTTGTTAAAAACTGTTTCTAATCATGCTCAGTAATCGTACACCAATCTTACCCAATAGTCTAAACTACATGCACCTCATCTATACTTAACACGCTAACCTCAATTCCTAAGAATTAACACGTCTCCAGTGGTTATCCTTAACACTGACAGTAAATAATTAAATCATAAGAATGTCAAAACAGGCATTTCCATCCTTTTAAGCCAAGGGTTGCACATATTCAAAGATTTCCTCCCAATTCTTTGTTGCTTCTGTAGACAAACAGGAGGTCGGAAGAAGACAGCAAGCCTGGCAGCATCTAGAGGAAAGGAGGGGTCAGCGTTTTCGGGTATTACCCTTCTTCAGGACTGGCCTACTGGCTTCTACCTGGCCTATTGCCCACTATACAAAAGCCAAATACTGCAGCGTGCTGGAAGCACGTGGTAAAAATGGGAAAAACTCAGCAACAAAGGAGAGTAACAAAGGTAATGTTTCCCGTTGAATGATCTTTCATCAGAACTGAAGAGAAATGGAAAATTAAAAGATTTTAAAGTGCGAGGGAGACAGGAAAAACCAGAGAGAAGATCGGAGACAGCGTGAGGCCAGGGGAAATTAAGTAACAAAAGATTTCATGATACAACAGTCAAAAGCATTGACCATAAGACATAGGTGCAGAAGAAGGCCTTTCAGCCCAACGAGTCTGTTCCACCATTCAGTGAGATCATGGCTGATCTGATCATCCTCAATTCCATTTTCCCGTCTTTTCCCATAGCCTTTGATACCCTTATTGATTAAAAGTCTGTGTATTTCAACCTTAATGGCCCAGCCTCGAGAACCCTCTGTGGTAAAACAAAATTCATAGATGCACTGCTGTCTGAAAAAAGAAATTGCTCCTCATCTCTGTCTAAAATGTACGACCCCTTACTTTGAAATTATGACCTCTGGTCTTAGACTCTCCCACAAGGGGAAACAATCTTTCCACATCTAATCTGTCAAGTCCTCTTAGAATCTTGCATGTTTCAATAAGGTCGCCTTTCACACTTCTATATACCAAGAATCTCAGGCCCAATCTATTCTACCTGTCCTCGTAGGACAATGCCTCCATATCTGACATTAGTGGTGAACCTGCTCTGCTCTGCATCATGTGCCAGTATAGTTTTCTTAAATAAGCTGTCCAAAGTGTTCATAGCATTTCAATTGTACAGTTAATACCCTGTTCTAGCAAAACCTTCCTATTGGTGCAACAGTCTGATATAGCAACATGTATATGCCCCTGGGTGTTCACTCCTAGCGTCATCTAGATACAGATTCAAGGCCCGAACTGGAATCCCACTGTAGAAGGGAAGACATAAATCAAGAAGCATGGTTAGGTAACAAACAAATTTAAGATTTAAGCACTTAAAACTCGAAAGGGGTGGAATAAGCTGTGGGACATGCAGGTCAAACCAAGTCGTTGTTAAGAATTAGTGAGACTAGGAGACAGTGTGGTTAGGTGTAAGTGGATTACTGAGGATAAACGAGGAGAAAGGTATGACGATGGTCTACTTACAAGTCTCAATTTGAACAAGGTAGGAATGATCAGAAAGTATTTATTGAAGGATGGAGACGACAAGTCATAATAAGGTATAGAAGAAAGTTATTCAGCCCATCGCACCTGCTCAGCGATTCAATGACATTATGGCTGATTTGATAATCATTAACTCCACTTTCATGCCTTTCCTCCTAGAATCCTTCATTCTCTTACTATTTAAAATCTGTCTATTTCCGCCTTGAATATACTTAACGGCCCAACCGCAGCTACCCTCTGCGGTAAAGAAATCCACAGATTTACAACGATCTGAGAAGCAATTCCAAGATATTCTACGTGTCCACATGATGCGAAACACTTGCTTCCCTTACATTCACATATGACTCAATATAATGGCCGTGATTGGAGATCTCTCAAGAGTTGGAGAAGTAGTCAGATTTTGGATAGAATAGGTCCTGATGGATTTGAGAAAACGATTGTAACTACGCAAAGATTTGCAAAAGGAGACCAAGCGTCTTGAGGGCAGCATTCGTTTTCTAAATTGCGAGACTGTGACATGAAGAAGGAAGATGATACTGCCAATAAAGAACGTCGGGTCGTTAAAATATTTAGAGCTGTTCGCTAAGATAGCTACACTGACCACAGCAAGTATCATGCAACGATACTAAGTTCTAAAAGTCAATTCCTTTCACTTTAGCCAATGATTTAAGAGTTAATCATTTTGTTTTCGAAAGTACAATAGGAAAAGGACAATAAGGCGATGGGAGGGCGGTGAAATTGTGATGCTTGGAGAGAAAGTGTACAGGACGATTAGCAAATTTAATGGGTAGTATGAAGGTATTACTCAGCTTTGAAAAATCGGAACCACATTTTTGGTGTTCCTCGATCTCAAGTACCTCTCTTTCTGAGTGTGGACCTGGGATTTACCGTAAAATGTGCAGTTCTGTGGCTAACAAGTGAGAATAAAATGTTTTTTTTAACAAGAGCAATCCGTTTTAATCTGTCTCTCTTGCATTTGACTGTATATCAGCAGATTATGAGGTTGTTTAACAATGAATGATTATTTTGCTCATTCCGCAGTTTTGATACATTACTTTGCGTTGATGTGAACCGGGACGGGCGGCAGGAGCAACGCGTTGTTCTTTGATTCCGCCCCTTTTGAGTTCTTCACCCAGGTCCGCACCAATAGAATAAAATGAGTTCGCTGTGCGTTCACCTATGGCTACGGGCGTGTCTTCATGTTTGTTGGTGATGTCTGGTAGGGGTAAAGGAGGCAAAGGCCTTGGTAAAGGTGGTGCTAAACGGCACCGTAAGGTCCTTCGAGACAATATTCAGGGTATTACCAAGCCGGCTATTCGTCGCCTAGCTCGCCGTGGGGGCGTTAAGCGTATCTCCGGTCTTATTTATGAGGAGACCCGTGGCGTTTTGAAAGTTTTTTTAGAAAATGTTATAAGAGATTCTGTAACTTACACCGAACATGCTAAACGCAAGACCGTTACTGCAATGGATGTGGTTTACGCTCTCAAACGCCAAGGACGAACTCTCTATGGATTCGGTGGTTGAAAGGTGTTAAGGAAAATACATCGGTGGAAAGGCTCTTTTAAGAGCCACAATTTGTTCTCAAGAAAGCGGCGGGCCTTGTTTGAAATATGGTAGCCACAATTTTAAACTGAGTATTGTCGCCTGAACAATTCAGTTTTTCAGTCCCAGACGATTTATATTCAGGACGTCAATATGTGGAGTAGTAAACGACATGGAGGTATTACAAATGAATGTACAGCTCCTTCGTGCATCTGCAACAATTGTCAGCCAGAAGTGCAGAGTGGATGATCCATCTCGGCCTCCTACAGAGGTCCCAAGTAATAGCAAGAAATAGCTGGTGGCACTGGATACTGCAAAAGTTAAGGGCCATGAAAACGTTGCAGCAATAGTAATAAATTAATAAATAACCACATTTCTTCCCAAACGATCGAGGCGCAGCTGCAAGGTTGAAATCTATACCTCCCAGAATTCTCGGGCTACCAAAGGGCTACATAAATCCTTTAGAGACGCAGTTGCCAGGAGGTGAGGAACCAACTTAAAAGTCTAAGATACAACCTCAGGTTAGTGTATATCCTACTATCAAAAAATTGAGAAAAGCTTGTACTGTTAAAGTACAATATGAAACTGCAAGTAAAATGGTCAGACACAAGTAGTTTCTATCCTATCCACGAGGACGAGAGAAAAAGCTGAATATTGTGTTTAAAAATTTGGACCCTGCTCCGTCATTCAATAACAGAAATAGTGTTAGAGAAACTCATCAGGTCTGGAAGCATCAGTTTCAAGTCCAGGACACTTCATCCGCCATTCATTAAGACTGAACTCTAATTTACTAGCTGCCTCTCCATAGCCATTGATTCCCTTGACTTATCAATCTGTCCAACACAGACTTAAAGGAAGTTAAAGATATAGCCTCTCCTACCTTCTAGAGAAGAGTTCCACAGACTCAATTGCAGGAGAGGAATGATTTCTCGTCTCCATCTTACATGCTAGATGTGTGTTTTTGAGTCACCTATTTCTATTTTCTCCCACAATTGGCGTCGTCTTTTCAAATTCAGCCTGTCATGACCCTGCAGGAACTTGTGCCTCAAAAGTAACATCTCTTATTCTTAACTCCCGTAGATACAGATACAAACTTTCCTCAAGCATTCCCATCCCAGGTATCATTCGACTGAATCTTCTCTGACGCATTTACATCATTTCTTAAATAAAAGATTAAAGTTGTACACAGTAATCCAAATGTGGCCTCGCCAACACTGTACAACTGCAGGAAAGTATTCCATTCCCCTTGCAATTGAAGAAGTCTCAAGTTGGTCAACTTAATCCATGCCAACTCTGCAGTCAGACCCACTTTCTCACTCTGCGCCCTTAGCCCAGCAAAAGCCTACTGTTCTGGTAGGCTGTGAGTGGTCATATCACTAATCGTGTAAAAAAAAGATTCTCACATCTGCACCCATATCATTAGCCAAAAAACTTAAATCAGTGTCCTCCATTCCTTGTAACGTCAGCTAAAAGGAATAGCTTTGTCCAACCTTATCCAAATCTGCCAATATCTTGTACAACTCTTTCAAACTTCTTTTCATTTTCCGTTTTCCCTAGAATGGAACCCCAGTTTCTCCAATCTAACCCTGTCGCTAAAATACTTCGCCCTGGGAAATGTCCTCTGGACTCTTCTGAGACCCTTCCTGAAGAGTGATGGTCGGAACTGGACACACTGCTCTACTCAGGGCTTCACCAAATGTTTATGAAGATTCAGCTTTCTCCCGTTTTTGAGCTCAATACTTAATTTATGAAGCCAAGGTCCCATTAAACCCATTTAGAATTCATTAATACATTAGTAATTGTCATTATGTCTAAATTGCACCTCCCTATTTCTTCTGCCAAAAAGAATAACATTTTTCTTATTTAATTACCACTTATCTGCTCGTTCTACTGGATCATTCTTTTGCAATGGATTGGCATCATCCTAATTGTCATTCAATTGTTAAATTGTGTTCTACATTCCAATACTCAAAGCATTGATGTGTAAGGAAAGGAACGGTGCTCATGTCATGTTTCTTGAGGAAACTTGTGCGTTCAACCGAAAAATTGACTCCCACGTGGCAAATGCCTACGATTAAAATCATCCCCCATGTAAACAAAACCTGTCTACGCTACTGCAGTGAGACTGAACAAGAAACTTCCAAGTTCACGAACCACTACAATCCGGGCTCCCCACAGGTCAGCGAGACCGAGCCTCCCCTTCCGACTCCAGCCTTCTGGCCTCGGGTCGGGGCAGGGTTACAAGCAGGAGAGTGCCGAAAAGACAGCAGCTCGCCGCTGAGCCGGGAGGTATGCTCTCCTGGAAGGACCTGTCCGAGTTCGCCGAGCGCCGGAAGTGTCCCAGGCAGCTTGCGGCGCCCCCACTGAGGTGGGTGAACGGTTCGCGGCGGGGCCGGCGTCCCATTCCCCTTCGCGCGGCGGAGGGCAAACACAAACTGGGCTAGCGCAGGACTAGGGGGTGTGGCGACGACCTCGCGCCTCAGTCCGTAAGCGGAGAGGGCGTGGGTCTGCTAGGTCCGCACCAGGGCTTTAAAAAGCGCGGAGCCGGGCCGGCCGGCTCCACATTGCAGCTGCGGCTGTGGGTGGAGGCGGAGACTTTTGGTTGTGCGAGGCGAAGAGCTATAATTTGATGGACCGTATTGCGGACACTGAGTCAGCTGGGTTGGATTTTTCTGCTCCGGCAGATTCCCAGCCGCCGGCTCCGCCTCCTCCAGTTCCGCCGCCGCCGCCGCCGCCTCCTCCCGATGAAGGTGAGGTGCTAGATATCGCAGTCGCGGTGAAGAAGAAGCGCCGGCCGTATCGCCACAAGAAGTTTGGTTGCACTGTGGCTGAACAGATCATGAAAGCTGTGGCGGCCACTAAAGAGCGCCGGGGCCTGTCGGTAGCTGCGATGAAGAAGCTGTTGTCGGCCAGTGCTAGCAATATGGGGCGCAACAGTTCTCGGCTCAACCAGGCCGTACGGAATATGGTCAAACGGAGTTCTCTAGTCAAAACATCGGGCAGTCTTGGTGGATCGAAGTTGGCCCGTATGGATGGAGGAGCTAGTAGCAAACTGAAAGCATCTTCCCAGAGAGAGTCAAGAAAAGTGCCGGGCGTCGTCACACTTTCTGAGGCCCGCAGACGGAGGAGGCGGGTGGTGGTCCGGCGGAGGGTAGAAAGGGTGAAACGACGGTCTAGGCCGCCAAAGAAATTTTCAAAGGTAAATAAACGGACGGGACGGAGTTTAAAACGATCGACGGCTTTGAAAAAAGGGGCCCGAATGAGGAAGTCGGTCGATATCCACCCGAACTCATCCCGGCATGATGAAAATCCTAATCCCCAACCGCAGCTTGAACCTAATCCCCACCCTCTAGTAGCCAACAGTAGAGAATCAACTTGTGGAAAAAATGGCTCTTATCAGAGCCTTTAACTTACCATGAAAAAGGGCCCAGAACAAGTCAGACATTATACAAATAGTTAATGTATCAGACATTACATAAAATAAGCGATTTAATAAAAGGAGAATTAAAAGATAATTGTGTCGCTTTATTTTGTATGAAAGACGGATCACGTTTTAGGTCTAAGAACTTGCCAGATTGTTGGGCAACGAATTGAATTTATACTGCTACAAGTACTATCCTTAAAAAATGCCTTATGAGTATTAAAACCAAAAGTTAGCTGCGGCTAGAATCCCAAATATAGTCACATTTCATGGGCACGTGAGATGAGACTGGCTAAAATTGGAGTGGTCAAATGGCCCTTTTACGTAGCTCATCCCGCATGGCGCGGTGGCTTTGTTACGTTGCCATGTTGCAGGCATCCCTCCAAAATAAAAGTGAAGGCGGGGGTAGAAGTGATTAAAAATATAAAACTCCACCTTAGAGATATCCTGTTCTCCCTTCTGGTCGCATTTCAATTACATTTGCCTATTCAATCAACCTTCCAAATCAGAATCTCATTACCTCACGACTCGATTATTTGCAAATGTGGGGATGCAAGTCTGACGGACAATCCAACTGGAAGTTTGTAGAAACTATATAACGGTCTCGTCTTGTTTATAAGAATAATTGTCATACCACAATGAATCAGCAAGGGCAGTATTCATGAACGGCGGCCTATAAAAATGTTGAAAATTATGCCACGTTGCAGTGGTAGCTGGGAACGAAGGGACTGATAGAGGTCCGTAGCCAGGCTTCTGATGAAGAATCAGTGAATTCAAAATGCTAATTCAGTTTCTCTTACTTTAAATGCTATCAGACATGTTCAATTTCTCCAGCAATTTGCTTTTGTCCTTTGGTGGGAAATGGTGCACTTTGATAGTGTTTACGCGAGTGCTTTCGCTGCAATGGGTGAGCCTACTGGCACCTCAATTGATTAGGTCCACATAATACTGTAATGATGCTACAAGCAAAGGCTGACTGATCATAGAATCCCTACAGCGTGGAAGCAGGCCATTTGGTCCATCGAGGGAGAATGTGCAAACTCCACACAGACAGTCGCGCGAGGGTGGAATCGAACTCAGGTCCTTGGAGCCGTCAGGCACTGAGCCATCGTGCCGTAAACCGTGTTGTATTCTCGGTTGCAGCAAATTCTACACTTACATCCTTAGTGACCAGTCGCCCACGACCACACCCGCTCCGCTCCACCACAAATCTTCCCCTTCTTTCCCTTCATCCCACCCCTGCCTTTCAAAGTAATATATACTACTGATCAATTTGGGATTTTAATTTTAAAATATCCTCGTTCCGCTTGTAATTTCGCTACAACCATTTTGTGTTTACATCGTCTAAGGTGCTTTGTTGCAATCTAACTACACGTTGTGAAAACCTCTAGTCCTGGGCCAGATCAGACTATTCCCACAATCACATAGGACTGGAAACCAAATTGCTGCAAATGACTGGGATTGATTTGACGCACTTTTTTTGGTATTTGAGAAATAAACGCACATTATTTTATGGGGAGACCCAACTATTGGGTACGGTTGAGTTCTGTTTGCTGTGGTCATAAACAGTGGACCACTTAGACTTCGCTGCACCTTGAGCAAATGAAAAATTGTGGATTAATGCACGAACAGCACTGCCGTCCATTGATGCCACGGGATAAAGCAAATAATGTGCTGGAAAAAGGGGAAGGGGCGGGAGACTGACATAAAGCCAAAATGATCATTCCGTGGCTTTGCGTAGATACGACAGGGCGAATGGCTTCTGTCTACACTGTAATAATTCCGTGATTTTCTATGAGGTGAAGAATGCAATCAAATGTGAGGGCCAATTCCTACCTTACAAATGGTGAAGCCACCACTTCGTGAACGCGCATACAGCTCCCTTCCAACCCCACCTCACAAAGCACTTCGTAAAAGGGAGGCAGAAACGGGATGGGTTTGGAAGAAAAGACACTTTTTTTCTGATAAACGTCTCCGCTTTTAACTGGAGAAAGAGAACATTAATTGAAGGCTTAGTGTGCATTGGCGTACGCCATAGGGAGGATCTGGCAGGGTTTGAGGAATTCACGGAGCTCGCAAGCGAACGGGATATTTGTTTCTGTTTCTGTTTCACTTTGCGGGTCGGGTGAAGTCGCTGTAACAATCCCCGCCCGGTCTAGGAGCACGTGGTTGAATTGGGAGCACATGGTCGGGGTCGGATTGGCACGGGGTGGTCACGTGGCTGGCGAGGAACACGTGCCGGAGCCCGGGCCACGCGCCGGCTCCCAGTCGGAGGACTCGCCTCTTTCACGTCCGCTTTGAGCCTTGAAAAGGCTCCGGCGCTTCTGTTGCGTCTTTAATTTTGGTCCCTGCAGCGTCGGGCTGAGGGTGTTGGGAAAGGAAGGGTGCTGAAGGCGCCGCCCGGCGTTGTCAGCCACCGAAATGGCTTCGGGCGACCTGATCCAAGGCTCTTCCCGGGGCAGGAAGGGGCGGCGGCGGAGGAGCCCGCCTAAAGTGCGGCAAGTGGCAGCCGCGGGTGGGGGAGCGCCCACCATGGCCGGGCACATCCTGGAGGCGGTGGCGTCTTCCCAGGAGCGCCGCGGTCTGTCGCTGGCCGGGGTCAAGAAGGCGCTGTCAGCCGCCGGCTACGATGTGCCGCGGATCAACTCGCGGGTGAACCAGGCGGTGCGGAGCCTGGTGTCCGCAGGCTCGTTGCTGCGGACGGCGGGCGCCGGGGCCTCGGGCTCCTTCAAGATCAACCGGCAGCAGCACCACGAGGACGGGCAGAACCGCCCGGTGCCAGCAGCGGCCGCCGCCGTTAATTCCAAACCCCGCGGTCGGCAGCGGAAGGCGGTCAGCGGCGGCGGCAGGAAGGGCGGCAGAAAGAGGAGCCCGACCAGGAAGAAGCCACCGCCAGGCAGCCGGAAAAAGGGCAGAATCGCTGGCGGCAGGAGGAAGGCGGCCAAGGGAACCGGGGTCCGGAGACCTGGCGGTCGGATCCGGGCGCCTCGGAAAGCAGGTAAGGAGCTGTCGCCGGCCGCTGAGCCGCCGCCTGGAGGACAGGAAGCTCAACCACAGACGGGAGGAGAGAGCGGCTCCGAGGGCCTTGAACCTGTGGCAGGGAAGCGTTGAGGAAGCGAAGAAAATAAATAGAGAATGAAAATAAACCAACCGTAAAAGGCTCTTTTCAGAGCCACCGATATGTTCAGAAAAAGAGATCACAAAAACCTAAAGAATTGCGAATGGTGTAAATAAGAAACAAAAATGAGAAGTTTCTGGAAAAACTCCGGAAGTCTGGCAGCTTCTGTGTTGAGAAATGAGTTAACGTTTCGGGTCCGGTGACCCTTCCTCAGAAATCACAACTTAATATTTTTATGTTATTTAAATAGGCCGAGATACAGGCCATCAATAGGGAGAGCACGTCCGTTTTAATTAAAATGCTCCAATCTAGGAAGGTTCTTAAAATATTTCTTCGGATGTTGCAAAAATTTCAGAGCCTAACGCCTCTGCCCTGTCCTCACCTTCCGTTTCCAACCACCGGGAGGAATGGAAATTTCAGACCCTCAGCTGCGGCTCCAAAACTTATTGACGAGATGTACTTTCTGCCGATCCTAACGCCCAGAGAGGGATTAATTTCGAGTGAGCAACCTGCGGGAGAGAACAAACACAGTGGGGTGGGACAAAGCGATTGGCTTTTTCAAAGGTCTGGCACAGCGGCGATGGACTAAATGGCCTCGCAGTATCAATTCTGGGATTTCACACACAACTGCAAAAATCAGGAAGAAGAGGCCGTTCAGGCCCCCCGAGTCTGCTCCGCTATTCACTGCTGATCTGATTGATCGGCCCCATCTTTAACCCTTGGCTCCCCTGATTGTTATGAATGTCTCTGAATATTCAGTGAACCACACCCCGGCCTTACTCTGGAAAAGAGAGCTCGACAGACTCATAACCTTCTGAAAACCAATCTCATCTCCAGCTTAAATGGAAGACGCCTCGGTGTCCCCCAGCTCTAGTTTCCCTTACCCAAGGAGAAAGTAGAAATGCCCTTTCAGCCTGTACCTCGTCAACTCCCCTCAGTATTTTACATGTTTGAATGAGATGATTTCTGATTCTGACAAACTTCTATGGATGCATCTTTACTGACCTAGGACAATGAACATTTGTTAAAATTGTACCATGATGGGAGGCTGAGTAAATTTGATCTATGTTCCTTGGGCTTTAGAAGAATGAGAGGGAATCTCCTTGAAACATATGAGACGCTGTACAGGGGAGACATTAAGAATAAATAATCCCGCAGCCTGAGCGATGTTTTGAGATTCTGAATTACTTTGCCATCATTAGAATGTTTCAGATATCCAGCATTCGCAGACATTTGCCTTTATACCCTTGTCTTTGCTTTGCCTTGGGTCTTTCCAGTGATCGAGGATGCACCATCATAGATTGTCCACAGAAGCGGGTAATGTTCTAAGATTATAAGAAGAATTATAGCATGACAATAATAAGTCAAACCACATTCTGTCAGACACAATTACTCAGCTAAACAAAAACAGAGAATGCTGGAGAAACTCAGCAGGTCTGGCAGCTTCTGTGGAGAGAGTGACAAAAACAGTGAACATTTCGAGTCCTGTGAGATTCTTCGACCGAAACACACACAAGATGAATCGCAGAATGGGTGACCACTTTGTGAAACACCTCAACTCTGTCCGTTAAAAATAATCCTGATCTTCCAGATGCCTGCACTTCAACACAACCTGCTTTCCATCTCGATCCCGCTGCAATGCTCCAGCGAAGCTCAATGTAAGTTGGGGGAACAGCATATTATTTTCTAATTGACCTTACACCTCAGGACTCAACATTAAGTTGAACAATTTCATGGCATGAACACCTCCTGCCATTTCTGTTACCCACCCCCACACCCCAGGTCCTTTCTTCTCTCTAACTGGGCTCCCTTTCTACAAAACTCTTCACTCCTCTTCCCCCAGAAGAAGTGTCACTGGACTCAAGATGTTAGTACTTTCTCTCCACAAGATGCTGCCAGACCCATTGAGTTTCTCCAACCATTTCTGTTTTTGTTCATTTCAGATCTTCAGCATCCACAGTTCCTTGCTTTGTTGTAATTACTCAGACCTTAGGGAGCTGGTACAGATCCATCTGCTCGCTCTGAAAGCTGAAGCAGAACTCCTCTTCCCCACTGATAGACTACATCTAACATCAGAAGAATGGGTGGAGCCAATGTTACATGAACATTAACCTCTCCAGAGCCACTACCTCTTACAACAGAGTGCACAGGAACCAGGAGTTAAAGTGAAGGACATGACCTTAGGAAATTCAATATCTGGATTATTACCTGAACCATATGTGAATTGTTGTAGGCATAAGGAGGGTTGGGAAGCCAACATTAAGCTGAGGGACTGGTGTGTGGGTGATGTTCCATTTCATACAAACACAAGAATTAAGAGCAATTCATTCTCTCAAATTTTCTTGACATTCAATAAACTCATGACTGCTATGATTATACCCTCAACTCCACATTCCCACCTATCTCCAGAAAAATTTGATGTCGGTTTGCAATGGGGATTTGAACTGACGATACCGCTGGGATAGTGTGCACCTGAGTTGGACTTGGAGCAGTCGTTTACATTCAGTCATTGTGTAAAACAGTTCTAAATGAGTTAGGTGATGGAGAGAATGGGATGCTTACAATCATCTTCAGCAGCTTCATCAATAAACTTCCTTCCATCATAAGGTCAGAAGTCGGCATCTTCATTAATGAGTAGACAATGATTATTCACAAAGCCTAACGGAGAAGTTTCTGGCTCCATGCAGCAAGACCTAGACAAATTTCAGGCTTGAATTGAAAAGCAGCAAGTAACATTCATGCCACAAAAATGCTAAGCGATGAGCATTTTTCAACAAGATAATCTAAGTACTATTGCTGGATCTTCTACCATCCTACCATCTTAGGGTTAAACATTGACCAGAAACTCAAATGGGCCAGCATGTAGTTACTGTGGCTCCAAGGGCAGGTCAGAAGCAGGAAATTCTGTGGTGAATATTTCATCTCCTGTCTCCCCATTATCTGTCCAACTTCTAAAAGATACATATGAGGAGGGTGATTGAATACTCACCCACTTGGCTGGATGGGGGCAGCTCCAACAACACCTAAGAGATTGACACACCCAGGACAAAGCAGCCCCCGCTTCATTGTCACCACATCCACAAACATCCCACTCCCTCCCCCACCGACGCTCAGTAGCAGCAGTGTGTACCATCTACAAGGTGCACCGCAGAAATTCAGTGATTCAGAAATAACAGTGATTATAGTTCAAAAGCAATTATCTTTGAAGCACTTTCAGACATCTCTTACTCGTGAAAAGCACAATATAAGGCAAGTTTTTTTGTCTTTCTTGTTAATAAAATAGTCTTTAGTTTTTTTCTTTTCAGATTATGCTACGTTTGCTACTCCATCTAGCAGATAGATGGGAACACTGCCCCCACTGCAAGTTCCCCTCCGAGCCACTCATCATCCTGACGGAAATATATCGCCGTTCCTTCAGTGTTGTTGGGTCAAAATCCTGGAATTCCCTCCCTAAGGGACATTGTGGGTCAACCCACAGCACATGGACTGCAGCGGGTTCAAGGAGACAGCTCACCACCAGTGATGATATTAGATATCAAGGGGTCATGGGTAGATTCTAAATCAAATAAAATTAAAAATAATGCCTCGTTGATGGGATTATCCTGAGACTCAAGAAGTGAAAAAAATCAAACCAATATGACATAGTCCATAAACTCCCCTTCAAGTTTATTTAAAATAAGAAGGACATGCATCATGCTGTTAATGCAGCAGACTTTTCACTGTTTGCAGATAGTCTGGATTACTCTCCTTTGGATACACACAAATGAATAAAAGAGTAAAGAGAAATTAAAGGGCTCTTAATAAACATTGCAAAGGCTAGATATCCAAGACAAAACAGCAATACAGAAACAGCAAGAGGCCGTTTCACCCGTCAAGCTTATTGCATGATTCACTCATTATTTTAGCAAGCCCAACATGGACAGTATTTGGGAATCAGGGTGTACTCATTCCTGCCCCTGTACAAGCAGCAGGTAATGGTGGCATCACCTTCAGGGTTATGTGCTGAGGGCCAGTTGTGGAACCAGTGGATTTGCAGAGATGATCAGAGGTCTTGCCCTTGGGCAGTTTGATCGCTACCAACACATCCTGAAGACCACTGAAATGCCAGCCTAATTGCTGAACAGTCATTCTACTATTCTGGGAGCCTCGCAGGGGTGTAAAACAAAGAGTTATGGGGATGTACAGCACGGAAACAGACCTTTCAGACCGACCTTTCACCCGCATCGATCCGATATCCTAAATTAATCTGGTCCCATTTGCCAGCATTTGGCCCATATCCCTCTAAACCCTTCCTATTCATGTAGCCATCCAGATGCTTTTTAAATGTTGTAATTGTACCAGCCTCCACCACTTCCTCTGGCAGTTCATTTTATCCACACACCACACTTTGCATGAAAAAGTTGTCCCTTAATTCTCTTTTAAGTCTTTCCCCCTCTCACCTTAAACTTATGGCCTCTAGTTTTGGACCTTCCTACCCTGGGAAATAGACCCTTAGCTATTCACACTATCTTTGCACCTCATGATTTTATAAACCTCTGTAAGGTCACCCCTTAGCCTCCAATGCACTAGGAAACATAACCCAGTCTATTCAGCCTCTCACTATAATTCAAACCTTCCAATCCCTGTAACATCCCTCAAAATCTTTTCTGAACCTTCTCAGCTTCAATAACATCTTTCCTATAGCAGGGAGACCAGATTGAACGCAGCATTCTAAAAGTGGCCTGACCAATGGCCTGCACGGCCGCAACATGACCCTCCCAATTCCTATACTCAATGCACTGACCAATAAAGGCAAGCGTGACAACCACCTTCTTCACTATCCTGTCTGCCTGTGACTCCACTTTCAATGAACTATGAACGTGCACTCCAAGGTCTCTGTTCAGCAACACTCCCTAGGACCCTATCATTAAGTGTATAAGTCCTGCCCTGGTTTACCTTACTACAGCACCTCACATTAATCTAAATTAAACTCCATCTGCCACTCTTCAGCCATTACTCTGAAACAACCTTCTTCACTGTCCATTACACCACCAATTTTGGCTTTATCTCTAAACTTACTAACCATACCTCCTATATTCACATGCAAATCATTTATATAAATGATAAAAAGCAGTGAACCGAACCCCAATCCTTGTATCACACAGCTGGTCACAGTCTTCCAGTCTGAGAAGCCACCCTCTACCACCACCCTCTGTCTCCTACCTTCGAGCCAATTTTGTATCCAATTAGCTAGCTCCCTCGGATTCCATATTATCTAACCTTGCGAACCAGTCTACCATGCGGAACCTTGTCAAATGCCTTACTAAAGCTCATATAAACAACATCCACTGCTCTGCCTTCATCAATCATCTTTCTCACCTTTTCAAAAAGCTCAATCAACTTAGACACGATTTCCCACACACAATCCCACCTTGACTATCCCTAATCAGTCCTTGCCTTTCCATATACATAGAATCCCTACAGTGTGGAAACAGGCTCTTCGGCCCAACAAGTCCACACCGAACCTCAGAGCATCCCACCCAGACCCATCCCCCTATAACCCACCTAATCTACACCTTCCTGAACACTACAGCCAATTTAGCATGGCCAATCAACCTAACCTGCACATCTTTGGACTGTGGGAGGAAACCGGAGCACCCAGAGGAAACCCACGCAGACACAGAGAGAATGTGCAAACTCCACACAGACAGTCACCCGAGGCTGGAATCAAACCTGGGTCCCTGGCGCTGTGAGGCAGCAGTGCTAACCACTGTGCCACTGTGCCATGTAAATCCTGTCTCTCAGAAACTCCTCCAACAACTTACCAACCGCTGATGTCAGGCTCACCAATCTACAGTCCTCTGGCTTTTCCTTACCACCTTTCCTAAATTATAGCACCACATTAGCCACCCACCAGTCTACTGGCACCTCACCAATGGCTGTTGGTGATACAAATATCTCAGCAAAGTGTCCAACAAACACTTCCTTAGCTTCCCACAAAGTTCTGGGATATACCTGATTATATCCTGGGGATTTATCTAATTTCATGCATTTCAAGCTCTCCAGCACCTCCTATTTTCAAGACGTCACTATTTATTTCCCCAGTTCCCTAGCTTCCATGTCCTTCTCCACTGTAAATTCAGAAGTGAAATATTCATTCAGTATCTCACCCATCTCCTGTGATTCCACACATAGGTGGCCTTGGTGATCTTTAAGAGGCCCCGTTACCTCCCTAGTTACTCTTAATGCATTTGTAGAATTTCTTCATATTTTCCTTAACCCTATTTGCCAAGGCTATCTCATGCCCACTTTGTGCCCTCCTGATTTCCCTCTTAAGTATACTCCTACTGCCGTTATACTCCTCGATGGATTCACTCGATTCCAGCTGTCTATACCTGACATATGCCTCCTTCTTTTTAATGACTCAATTTTTCTAATCATTCAGCATTCCCCACACCTTGTTCTTCTCCCTAACAAGAACGCACTGTCTGAACTCTCATTGTCTCATTTTGAAGACTTTCCATTTTCCAGCCATCCCTATATCTGAGAACAGCTTTCCCCAATCAACTTCTGAAAATTCCTGCCTAATAACCATCAAAACTGGCCTTCCTCCAATTTATTTATTTTTTTTATTTAGAATCCCTACAGTGTGGAAACAGACCCTTCACCGATCCTCAGAGCACCTCATCCAGACCCATTACCCTTTTCCCTGTAACTACACATGCCTGAACGCTATGGGTTAATTTAGCATGGCCAATCCACCCTAACCTGCATACCTTTGGCCTCTGGGAGGAAACCGGAGCACCCGGAGGAAACCCACGCAGACAAGGGGAGAATGTGTAAACTCCACACAGACAGTTGCCCGAGGGTGGGACCAAACCCAGGCCCCTGGTGCTGTGAGGCAGCAGTGCTAACCACTGAGCCACCATGCCGTTAGCACTTTAACTTTTAGATCAGGTCTATCCTTTTCCATCACTATTGTAAAACGGATAGAATTATGATCAATTGGCTAAACTGGAGCTACAGCTGGCAAGTGGCAGTATGCCAAGCCTCTGAGGTATCGCATCTGGCTCTCCACACACTTATGAAGCTTTGCTGAAAATGATCCAGCGCAAAGGAGGTGATTTATTTTGGTTCCTTATCTGCTTCAAATAGAAGGCAGATCAATTTCCCAGAACAGAAATTGCTGGAAAAGCTAAGCTGGTCTGGCAGCATCTGTGGAGAGAAATCAGAGTTAATGTTACGGATCCAGGGTACCTTCCTCAAAACTGGAGTTAACTCTGATTTCTCTCCACAGATGCTGGGTTTTTCCAACAACTTCTGTTTTTGCTCCTGATTTACAGCATCCAGAGCTCTTTCAGTTCTGATTTTCCAGAAACATCCCCAGGTCTACCCATGGCATTTCTCCAATCTTCTCGGGTGTACAGGCAAGATAAAACCAGGCTTAGAGGGAAACAAAATGAAGCTGCTTAACCACATCTCAGAAACAAGTCACCAAGGTAATGTGTGGACTTCCAGATTGGTGTATGGTAGAATCTCTACTGGTTAGTCTTCTGCCCATTCTCAGTGTTGGTGCCCAGGTTACTAATGGTGATGGCCATCAACACAAAACCGGCTGGTGGTCTATTTTATTCAGTCTGATCAGAGAAAGACTCACATTTATATAACACTTTGCACATTCACCAGGGGATCTCAGCCAATGAAGTATTCTTGAAGGGTGGGTCCTGTTGGAATGTAGCAACTGCAGCAGCCAATTTGCTCATAGCTAGCTCCTACACTAGGTAGTACCACAATCACAGAACCCCTGCAGTGCAGAAAGAGGCCATTCGGCCCACTGAGGCTGCAGTGATCCTCCATAGAGCACCCCGTTCAGTTAAAGCACCACTCCTGCCCCATGCAAACCCTGTAGCCCTACATGTCCCATGGCTAACTCACCCAGCCTGTACATCACTGTATATTGGCGAATTAGCATGGCCAATCCACCTACCCTGCACATCTTTGGACTGTGGGAGGAAACCGGAGCACCCGGAGGGGACCCACGCAGACACGGGGAGAATGTGCAAACTCCACACAGACAGTCACCCAAGGGTGGAATCGAACCTGTGTCCTTGGTGCTGTGAGGCAGCAGTGCTAACCGCTGAGCCATCGCGCAGCTCAATGACTAAATAGTCAGCGCTTTTTTTGTATGTGGTCTCCATCTGGAGGTATAAGAGTGGCCAAGACAACGGGGACAACCTCCCTGTTCATCTTCAAAATGAAACCACTGGGGATTGTACCTGAGTGGGGCAGGGGGGGCCTCCCACCTGATCAATATTATCTGCTGGATTCTGCTGAATTTTGCTAATTACCCCCACACCCACCAAAATTAACCGGGAGGGTAACAGTGACTGAACAAACACTTGGTGGTTTACAAAAGCGGATTTGCCGCTCTGAACCTATTGCAATAAATCTCCGGTATTCCCTTCAAAACGGTAAGTTTGTTTGTGGTTTTAGAATTAGAATAAGCTTTATTGTCACATGAATACAGCGAAACTTTTACAAGTTACCACTTACAGCACCAGCTCAGGTACAAAGGTGCCTAGATACAGATTCTTGCGCACAAAAGAAGTTGGAAAAATACAGAAATAAAAAGTTCGGAACGACAGTCCTTCCAACCCAGTCCACACTGGCACCAAGTCTCTAGTCTGCACCAGGCCTTGACTCCAGACCCCACTAGGCTTCACCTTGATGCTTTCGAGGCCAGGAGGCTGCTCTGGAATCATCTCAAGGCTGGAAGTCTATACCGAGACCAGACCAGGCCCTGCCCTCCTCACTTCGCTTTTGGATAATGAGGTTTCTTCAAGGTGCTTCCTAATGCTCTGCGCAGGGATTTCTTGATCTCCAGGAGGTGACCTCACAGCCGGGTCCTCCATCCTGGTTTCCCTGCCTCCGCCTGGCCAGGGGCTGGCTCTGCTTCAGTCTGTCCCGCTTGGCCGTTGACGCCGGCTGTGGGGACCGGTGGCTCCGCCGTCCCTTGCTCACTCAGGATGCCCAGCTCCCCCTGCACCAGATGCATGTCGCTCTGCTGTGTCTCTTCTCTTCCGCCCTGCGGCGGTTCCTCCTCCTTCATCGCCTCCTGCTGGTTTTGGCGGCTTTCCCCACTTGTCCTCGGTGCTGCGCGGAAGTCATCCGGGTACTGGATCTTCGCGAAGCCCACTGAAGAAATGTGCTCCCAGGTGTCTTCCGCACTGCCCCCATCAGTTTCACTCCCGAAATTATCCTCGGCTCGCCGGTTGGCGCTGTCCTTCAGGTTGGTCAGGAGCAGTCTCTCCACCTCCTCCAGGTACATTTGCTGGTATTCCCACCAATAGTAAGGCTTCCCACAGCAGTGGGACACGTGGCAGCAGCTGATGCCAACTGCAATGGAGACCAGTGTCAGCAACAGGGCCAGCCCAATTACCTGGGGTGAAGGAGAGACAAGGAGACAGAGGTGAAACCATATGCAAAGGCCAGTTCATTATTGTGTAACGTGGTGAGACTAGTTCCCTTGCTGAGCACACGGAAACAATAACGGCAAACTGTGATAAGAGACTGGAGGGTGAAACTGAAGAGATGATTTGTTCTTGTGCTAACATTTCTGAGCTGGGGCTGCTGCACTATTCCAACAAAGGGACAACGCAGGCTCGAGGGACAACACCTCACATCCCACTTTAACGCCTTACTGCCTTGAGGGCTCAACATTAAATTCCACAGCCTCCGAAACTGACCACGTTATGTTGGTTCCCCATTTTTCTTGCATTCTCCCCACCCTTTGCCTTGGATCCTGTTTATTTTGGTCTCAGTAAACAGGACCCATTCTTCCCCTCTCGCACTTTTGATTTACACCCAGTTTACATCTCGTTTCTCACTTTCTCCGCCATTAACAACTTTCTGTAGAAAGTAGAAAGGAAATATCTACCCTTTTCATTTCCTAAGAAGGGTCATACTGGACTCGAAATGTTAACTCTGCTTCTCTCTCCACTGCCAGACCTGCAGAGTTTCCCCAGCACTTTCTGCATTTGTTTCAAGGGATACCTTATTTAATCTGAAAAACAGACTAGGGCGTGCAACAGAGATTAGTTTATGATGCTGTTCGTACCTCTACCAGCACAGTTACTGAATAAGCGATTCATCCTGAGGGCCATGAAGATGGATATGATAAAAGTGAGACTTGCATTTTCATTCCATCCCTCAATGGTAAGATATCATTTTGTGCTTTAGATGGTAAAGCATAGGAGAAGAAGTAGGCCATTCAGCCCACTGAGTCTGCTCCTTCATTCAATGAGATCATGGTTGACCTGATCATTCTCAACTCCACTTTCCTGCCTCTTCCCCAAAACGCCCGATTCCTTTCTTGATTAAAAATCTGTCTCTCAGCCTTGAATGTATTTAATGACCCAGCCTTCTGGGTAGGGAATCCCACAGATTCACTACCCTCTGAGAGAAGAAATTCCTCCTCATCTCTGTCTTAAATGTGCAACTCCTTATTCTGAGATTATGCCCTGTGGTCCTAGACCCTTCCCACAAGGGGAAACAACATTTCTGTATTGACCCTGTCAAGATCTTTCACAGTTATTGAGGTACTTCCTTAGATAATGCAGGAAATATAACGCAGCAAGGTGAGCAAGGAACAGATGCTATGTTTTTGTAATGTTGATGGATGGACAGAAATCAGCCAGAAGACTAAGTTGAGCTTTAGAACTTTAAATCTTTAAGGAAATACGAGTGGAAACCACAGACAGAGGTTTCCCAGCAATCACTGTGTGCTAGACATAGAGGCTGGTGACTGGAGAAAGGTGGGCATTACTCCATATTATTCAAAAATACTACCAGCAATGGCCCAATGCAGTAAACACCCATCAGTTTGACATTCATCGTGGATAACATTATCCCAAGATGATAGGAAACAAACTCTAGAGACTTTAGTCTTTTCTCATCCAGCGATTTCCTATGGTCTACGAAGTACCCCAGATGTACTTCCATAAAATCCAACCTCAAATAAAAGTCATATACGTGATTTTTGGTTTACAAAACATGATTTGTTTTTTGTAAATCTCTTGCAAAAGTCATCCCTAATTTTTCAGTGAACTAAGCTGCAAGATTTCAGAACCAGAGTATCATCTTGGAGATATTAATGATTCAATTTCAGTGTAAATGTATACATACTAATTACATTGGTTATCAATAGACCAATGCTTAAAACATTTACACACTTCTAGGTTTCGTTTCTATTTATACAAATTATTGACGTGAGCAGATGGTGAATGACGACCTTGATAATTAAATGATATTTGATAATTAATACAAGTGATTTGGTCTTGTTGGTTTCTACTTTATTCCAATTGCAGTTTCTTTCTATATTCTCACAAACCCAAATGAAAAATAGAAACATAGAAAATAGGAACAGGAGTAGGCCATTCAGCCCTTTGAGCCTGCTGTGCCATTCAATATCACAATAGCTTGTTTTCCAGCTCAGTCCCCTCTTCCTGCTTTTTCTCCATACCCTTTGATCTTTAAGCCCTAAGAACTATATCTACCTCCTTCTCGAAAACATTCAATGTTTTCGCCTCAACTGCTTTCTATGGCAGAGAATTCCACAGGCTCCCCCACTCTCTGTGTGAAGACATTTCTCCTCATCTCAGTCCTAAATGGCCTACACCCTGTCCTTACACTATGACCCAAAGCATATATGTCAGCCCCTTGGAAGCAGCATGTTTGTAAAAATCAACTGGTAAATGATTGGTCTCAAGAATTCAACATTTACTCGATTTTTTTTCTAGTATTATTTACTAGACTATGGGAGCCACTCGGTCCAGATCTCCAAATGACCAGCTATAGAGGTCTGTCTCATCTGGCATGGTCTGCAATGTCCTATTGTCCCCTAGATGTAGCGTAAAGACCTTTACACACAGGCCTTCCTCCTGGAAATCATCTTGTGCAAAACCCAAAAGCAGAATTTTTATAAGGATTCCCACCATCAGTGGCGTGTTGGAGTTCCCTCAGAGACTCAAAGGTGCTAATAAGAACTACATTTCTTATAGAGATAACAAGGTATAGAGCTGGATGAACACAGCAGGCCAAGCAGCATCAGAGGAGCAGGAAAGCTGACATTTCGGATCTAGACCCTTCTGCTGCTTGACCTGCTGTGTTCATCCAGCTCTACACCTTGTTATCTCAGATTCTCCAGCATCGGCAGTTCCCACTGTACATTTCTTACAGCTTGTTGTCAGGAGCTATGGGCAGCGATGGTGGAGGCTCTAATTTCCTTTCCAACACTGCTAATCAGAAATGTGTCCTGCTGTTACTGTCTACCACTGTGTGTTAGAAGTTTGACTGGTTTCCTTCTTTTTATTTCAAAAATATACTTTATTCATTAAAAAACATCATATATATACATTATCACAAACGCTGTTTGGTTCCGTACAGTTGTATATCAAGTAAATAAGCAAACATTGGACTTTGACTCTATCTGAAAAAACCAAAGACCTCTTTTACACATTCAGTACTAATATTTACATGTATTTGAGACACTGGGAGGGTCCAATAAATGAACGGACACCCACTTACCTTCAGCTGACAGACCTTACATGGTGGTCTACACCACACACCACCTCCGCCCCCCCACCCCACTACCCCTTGGCAGCAGCTGCCCCAAGGTTTAGTGCATCCCTCAGCACATAGTCCTGGACCAGGGAATGTGTCAGTCTGCAACACTTGGTCAGGGTCAACTCCCTGCTCTGAAGATCTACAAGGTTTGGGCAGGCCAAAGAGTGTTTTTCACTGAATTGATGGTCCTCCAGGCACAGTTGATGTTAGTCTCAGTGTGTGCCCCACGGGAACAGACCATTGAGCACAGAGTCCTGTGTCATGGAGCTGCTTGGGACGTACCTCAAGCATTGTACCTTCCTCCAAACTTTTTTTGCAAAGGCACATTCCAGAAGGAGATGTGTGCCAGTCTCAAACCACCACAGCCACTTCGAGGGTAGCATGTGGTGGCACAGACCAACCAGGCATTCATGAAGGATCTCACAGGTAGTGCCCTTCCCACCACCAGCAAAACGATGTTCTGGTGCTTGTTGGAAAGTTCTGGTGATGAGGCATTCTGCCAAATGACTTAGACAGTCTGCTCAGGGAACCACACAATAGGATCCACCCTCTCCTTTTCCCTCGGGGTCTCGAGAACGCTAAGTGCTGACCACTTCCTGATGGACCTGTGGTCAAACATGCTTTTGTCTGCAAATTTCTTCACAAAGGACAGATCATACAGAATGGTCCGATGACTTGGATCGTTGCATGGCAACGAGATTAGTCCCATCCTTGCCAACACCGGGGACCAGTAGAACCTCAGTGCATAGTGACACTTGGTGCTTGCGTACCAAAGGTCTACACACAGTTTGATGCAGCTGCACACAAAGTTGGCCAGCAGGATGAGGACAACATTGGGTATGTTCTTTCCCCCCTTATCCAGAGTTTTGTACATGGACTCCCTGCAGACCCGGTCAACTTTAGGCTTCCAGGTGAAACGGAAGACGGCCCAGGTGACTGAAACAGCACAGTTTCAGGGAATGGACCAGACCTGCACCACGTACAACAACAGAGACAGTACCTCACACCTGAAGACCAGGTTTCTATCCACAATGGGGAGGGAGCAGTTTCTGCCTCACCTTGGCAATATGCTCCTCCCAAGATTTTGTGCACGCCCCGGCCCCTCCAAACCTTAATCCCAGCAACTTCAGCTCATCTGTCCTGACAGTGAAGGGAATGAAGGATTAGTTGGCCCAGTTCCCAAAGAACAGGGCCTCGCTTTTGCCTCGATTTACCTTGTCTCCCGAGGCCAGTTCGAACTGATCGCAGACGCTCATGAGTCTGCGCACTGACCAGAAAACGGTGATGTCATCCATGTACAGAGAGACTTTGACCTGCAGGCCACCATTGCCTGGAATAGCCATCCCTCTCAGGGTCTCATCTTTCCTGATGGACTCACACACAACACACACAACCTCTTCCAGCTCTGGAGCAAATAAAGGCAAAGTTGACAAAGTCTAACCAGACCACAGGGGCTGCCTGTCTCATTACAGAGAGATTGACAAGTGATAACTTAGCCTGAGGGTCACCCATGCCTCAGATGAGGGAAGAGGCTGAGAAGGAGCCACAAAAACAGAAATTGCTTGAATATTTCAGCAGGTCTCTCTGCGTCTACGGAGACAAATCAGAGTTAACATTGCCAGTGGCCAGTAACCCTTCTTCAGAACTGATGATAACAAGGTGTAGAGCTGGATGAACACAGCAGGCCAAGCAGCATCAGAGGAGCAGGAAGGCTGACGTTTCGGGCCTAGACCCTTCTTCAGAACTGATGGTAACTCGGAAAAGGATGGTGCTTATGCAGAAGATAGGGCCGGAATAGGGGAGGAGGAGTGAATTATAGGTGGAGATAGGGCCCAAAGAGAGAGAAAAACAGTTGGACAGACAAAGGAATGGATCAAGGTGAGCCTAGGAGAATGAATACTTGCCAATGGGGACTATTAGTGGTTAACAATAGAGTCATAGAGTCACACAGCATGGAAACAGAACCTCTGTCCAACACGTCCATGCCGAGCAAATTTTCCAAGTCTGACCTAGTCCCGTTTGCTAGCATTTAGCCCACATCTCTTTAAATCCTTCCTATTCATGTAGCAATCAAGAATTAAATGTTGTAATTGTACCAGCCTCCACCACTTCCTCTGGAAGCTCATTTCATACACACACTACCTTCTGTGTGAAAAAGTTGCCCCTAAGGTCCCTTTTTAATCTTTCCTCTCTCACCTTAAACCTATGCCCATCTAGTTTTGGACTCCCCTACCCTGGGGTAAAAAACCTTGTCTATTCTCTCTATCCATGCCCCTCATGATTTTATAAACTTCTATCAGGTCACCCCTCAGCCTCCAACGCTCCAGGGGAAAAAGTCCTGAAATATCCAACCTCTCTCTCCTTCGCTCAAACCATCCAGTCCCAGCAACATTCTTGTAAATCTTTTCTGCACCTTTCAAGCTTCACAACATCTTTCCTATAGAAGGGCAACAAGAATTGAACACAGTATTTTAAAAGTGGCCCTAACCAATGTCCTGTGCAGTACCACATGACCCTCCCAACTTCTCTACTCAATGACAACAAGGTGCAGGGCTGGATGAACACAGCAGGCCAAGCAGCATCATAGGGATGCTGCTTGGCCTGCT